TGAAGCGAAGGGATTGGTATGAAGCGGCCGTGATGCTGCATGCATATATGGGTACACATATGCAGCCGTATCTTCGGTAGCGGTGATTGGTAAGATGCCTACGGGAAACTCGTCCGAAATCGATTTTCAAGTCACTGAGAACGGAGGCTTTTTCTTCGCAGGATTTTGACCGTTTCACTCCGTTCTTTCGCCACTATACAGCGCCCTACTAGCATTTTAGGCTAAGTAGGAAACCATCGTGCCAACTGCCTTTAAAGGTGATGCGCTATCTCGTTTGAGACATGCTGCAGGGAAGCAGAAATTTTCAATCAAATCATCAAATCTTTTTTTTCTAGAAAAAATGTTCTCTTCTCCCGCACCCGAGCACCTTTCTCGCTAACAATAAGCTTACTATTAGGCGAAGAACCCTCATACCCTAGTTAGCAGTCATTTCTTCACTCCTTTAGCATTGATTCTCGCTCAACGTCAGAAAAACGCCGAAAGAATGAAGTGATAGTGAAAAGAAGCGAAACAAAGCTAAATTAGAGACGTCTGCAAAATTGCGAGTACTGTGAATGATTTCTATGAGAGCTCATTGGGGATGATGATGGTTGTGTGAGAACTCATCGCAACGAAATAACAATACAAATGATTTGCTGTTCTGCTCAGAGAGGGTATCATGTAACAATTGTGTTTATACGGTCATTGATATGAATTAAGAAGGTCGCGTGGCGCTGTTTGTCGACGGGGGGCATTTTGTATTATCATTGCTTCCCTAGTTCCGGTTTACAAATCTCACTCTGGTAAAACTTGTGAACTCTTGTGAAGCTGAAGTAAGATCGTCTAGCCACTATCCTAAAACGTGTCAACTCGAGAAACGGCTACCTAGATGGGTCGACACATCTATGGAAAGCAAAATGCCCTCCCTCTCCCCCCCCTCATCCGCCGTCGACAAACTGCGCCAGATCGCGTTTATGCTAATCATGAGCGTTCCGAAAAAAAAGAGAATCAGCTGAAGAAGTTTGGCTGAAATGGTTCGTCTCCGCTCTAAAAAGAAGGTCAGAAAATTGGAGTAGAAAAAGACAAGAGACAAGTGGAAAACAACTGATTAGCGAAAAAAGAGGGCCTCAGTGTGACCCGTGACCCTCCAGAATTTGTTCCTGTGGCAAGCCGTTTCCTCCCCATCTCACCTGCCATCTCTACGAATTTTCCCAAATTCCTACCTCACTTCCAGTTTCCCAAAGAATTTTCCATTTTTGCCTTGAAACTTTGCCGTTGAGTGGAAGGGGAGATGATACACTATTGCCGCTGCGGATGCTGGAGCGTCTCTGGAGGCTGGTTTTGGCGCAGCGCCAGCCCGTTCTCCACCAGATGCTGATGAAACTTTCTGCCGCATCTTGCCCAGCTCCATGCCACGCCGCGGCGTTCAGAGCACACCACCGTCAGGGATTCCCCAGCGGGGATAACGGATAAGGATTGTATATACAAGGAGAATACAAATGCTGCAGGAGGCAAACATGAGTTCGAGATGAAGAAAGATTGCAGGGTTCGTAACAAGACCGCCCTGACTGAACCTGCTGCTGTAGGTAGAGAAACTCAGCCGCGGGCGGGCCCATTCCACCCTCTCGACGCCGCCTCGCCGAATTGCGACGATGTCATCTATATCCACCATTCTGGTAACAGTCACTGGTTCACATAAACCCAAGGCTGGAGATTCGTTGTTTTGATTTGATTCACCCTTTTCGCGACGTATAAGGCTCGTATAAATGCACGAACGCGGCAGCGCATGCGAAAAGTCCCAACCACATCAGCAGCTCTTTTGGTCCTTTTCTTGCGTAATGTTATCATACAATTGCCCTTTAAAACACTTATTGATCGAAATAGATCATTCACATGTAGGCAAAACGTACGTAGCGGAATCTTTGAAGGTGCGCCCTATGCAGGGGTGTATGACAAGACAATCGAAATATATCACACTGATGGGCGCGACGAGCGGTGTCGCGCCTGAGAGACGAGTCAATCTGTCTGGCCATTCGAATTTGATGGTTAAAGGTACGGGAAAATTCGAGTCCGTAATGTGTATCGGTTTGTCGAGTTGGATCAGAGAAACTCATATGGTTCAACTGGAGGCATCACTCCATGATGAACAATACCGGAGCCACCCCACATCGCCGCACACGACACACCGCGGGAGGCGACGAGGCAAATTATGGGTGTCTTGTTCTCCCCTGAATGCAACTCTGATCCCTGAGAATAGGGTAATATAAAAGGCAGAAGGAAATTTATAAATATTGGGTCAAAATTGCTCCTGGAATCATTAACATTAGTAGAAGTAACAGGAAAACGAGATTTCAGACCACTTTCAGAACACCATGGTTACGATGTGTCGCTTCAGGCCATTCTATTGGCTCATTTATCGGGCGTCCCAGGATTACCCTCCACTTTCTGAGGTACGCTTTTCATATCTTACATTCTTTCAAAGATCTCACCCCGAAGTGAACAACAACGAAGCATTTTTCTGCTTATATCATTTCCGAGAGTAACTTCATCCCTTCCTCTTCCGAGAGCGACGTACTCCACTAGGACGGGGAGCCCCCTTTCCTCTTCTGAGAGCGACGTACTCCACTAGGACGGGGAACCGCTTACAAAAATGCTCAAAAAATTTGAAATAGAAACTCTTGGCTTTAGGTGTCACCCTATGTTTCATGCACGCCGCGCAGTGGCAATGACCATTATCTTGAGGAAATTCATCTTCATTCTGTAAACGCACGGATCGATGTCAGACATGTAAAAAGGATTCGGGATCATAAAGGAAAAAACATGGATTTGTTGTTCATGACTGTCTTTCCGCAGCAAATGAGTCCTCCGGATGCCCTTCCATGCTGAAATGAAGTTCGTTAATTTTATGTTCATTCCATCTGACGGGTGCAGAAATGCATAACCTACCTATACCGATTGGAAGATTCCCCTCGAATCCAGTAAAAAATGGAAAAAATTACAATTGCAGCGTGGGTACATGTAAAGCAGGGAAGGTGAATAGCTGCCATACATGTCGCTGACAATGAGTATCAGATCCCGGTCCCCACTCCCTCCCAGCTGAAATCTAATCTCATCTCTAGAGAAATTTTTTCGATTGTAAGACGATCGCGCCGCTAGTGGACAACCAGACTCGCAGAAAATCTCTGATGTCTATCTGCTGTTTTTCATTAATGGACAATTCTAGTTGCCATTTGGTGAACTCGTTACTCATTAGTTAAAGCATAAATAGGATAGATTCATCGCCGTTAACCAATCCTTTTTGCAATTCGGCACGCATTCCACTTCCATTCAGAATCGTAATGGATGAGTATTGCATATTGAATGAGGATGTGGCTCATGCAGAAACTTGCGAATGTCAGTGGATGTACGAATCAGTGTTCTTACCCTCCCAAACTAATACGTATTAACTTACCGTCCCCAGAGGGTAGAAGGCTTGGTTGTCCGCAGCGGGAACAGATCAGGGATTTTAACCCCCGGGCTGGGCGTGTAGTAAGCGCGTCGGGGATTCAATCCCCGACACTACATCTGCCACATATTAGTTAAACAATTGAAACTCACAAATCAATCGTGAAAAGTCTTTGCCGATGTTTCGATGACTCCAAAAGTTTTATATCGTCAGCAGAAAGAGCGAAATCAAACAACTGAAAAGTGTACACCTCGGAGGGGAAGGGTTTGAAAGCTTGAGTAAAACTAGTTTGAACTTACTTGGAAATTTTCAACGATTCGTGATGGAGTGACGGATTTTGGTATGATGGCAATATTCCTATCCATCAAATAACGCAACAGGATCTGATCGCAAAATGGTGATTTCATCGAACTCATTTGTTTGATATAACAGTACAATAGTATATACAGGGGGGGCAAAAAAAGACACTTTTCTTCCTTGACTTTCAAGGCGCTATAAGTTACACTTTATTGAATTCTGATTGGACATTTCCACCACCATATTCAAGAGCATATTGTATACTATCATATACTCCGCCACAGCCTTCTGGACGAGCGCCATCGAGAGATTCTGCTACGCGA